AGATCGTGCTACTGCACTCCAGCCTGGGTGATGGAGCAAGACTTCCATCTCAAAACAAAACAAAACAAACAGAAAAAGAAAAGAAAATCAGGAGATACGAAATCTGGTCTCCGCTTGGCCACAGTGATCATGACCTTAAAGCCAGTCCCTAAATGTCTCTGGGATTTCTTTCCTAGGCCGTTGCATGGGAAAAGCATTCCCTTCCGTCACCTACCACAGAGGTGGTGCAGCCTTGGAGATCAAGGTTCCTGACGGTGCTCAGCTTAGTGCCTTGTAAGCACTTCCAGTGGGTGTTCACTAAATGCTTGTTTATCGGGTGTCCTTTGGGGGTCAGGTGGCCATGGCTCCAAGTTCTGAGAGCTGCAGCCTCTCCCCACGTGTCCTTGTCAGAGTTTGTTACTGAGGCTGGGGTCAGGCTGAGTCACTCTGCCGGCCACAGTCTCATAGATATGAGATTGTTTGAAAATAAAGACTGGGCAGGTCTTTGAACTTTGCTTGGCTCACACGGATTCACTGATTGTTCTTCCTAAGCCCAGGTGCTCCAAAGACGTGACTCCACAGATAAGGAAAGATGCACAGGCCAAGGTTCCCAGGAGGGCAAAGCGTGAGCCTGGGCTCAGGGCGAGGCCTGGTGGCGTTCTCTTAGTTCAGCCCACTCATTCGGATTCACGGTTACACCTGGGCGTGGTGTGCCAGGTTAGGCAGTTTGCAGGAGTGACTGGAAGGCCCTCCAGTGAAAACGTCACTCAAAAAACCAGAGCAATTCCATTTTCAGGCATAGAAGAAAATAGTGCTGATTGAAAATTCAGTATATATTAATGCAGGAGTCATAGGACTTCTTCTTGTGAATAACTTGATCAACAATTAATTTGCCATAAGTTGTATCCTTGAATAAAGAGAACATTCTCTGGGTGGCCGGGCACAGTGGCTCATGCCTATAATCCCAGCACTTTGGGAGGCCGAGGCAGGTGGATCACAAGGTGAGGAGATTGAGACCATCCTGGCCAACATAGTGAAACCCCGTCTTTAATAAAATACAAACAATTAGCCGGGCGTGGTGGTGTACACCTGTAGTCCCAGCTACTCGGGAGGCTGAGGCAGGGGAATCACTTGAACCCGGGAGGCAGAGGTTAGAGTGAGCACTCCAGCCTGATGACAGAGCAAGACTCCGTCTCAAAAACAGAAAGAAAACATTCTCTGGAGTGTAATTACGATATAGTTCAGGCTTTCTTGTCATCCAGATTGTGCTGTTTTCAGCTCGACCAAGAGCGATTGGGCTGTTCTAGAACAGTTCTAGTGATTAGATTGTTCCAGGCTTGGCCTCCACTTCCTTGTCTGAAATCCACAGTTACAGCACTTGGGTGGTGGAGGAGCCAGAGGGGCGATGGCATCACCACCCCATTTTGCAGATGAAGAGCCTGAGCCCAGGAATTTGATGGAGCCAGTGTTGCTTAGTGGGGTTCCGACAGTCCCAGCCTTGCCAAGGCTGACAGGCCTCCTGGTCAGGAAGGGGTAGGGAGCAGGGCCTTGGGGCTGTTGCGCTCTAGTGGGCAGCCCCCTCCAGGTTGGATGAGGCAGCCCTTATTCCCTGGCTGGTGGCCAGGCCACTCAGAAAGCCAGTCTGCATGTCAGTTAACTGCCTGGTGAGTCCTCCGTGGAGCTTGTGGGGAATGTGCCCAGGGAACTGGTAGATCCCACACAGTGGAGGTTTCTTTCAGGCAACTCCCCCAAACTTCTGGCATCAGAGCCTCCTGGGTTGACTGACTCAGTCACTTTTCAGATACTCCCCCTTGCCTCTTCAGAAGATCCTGGGTTTCAACATTGGAAGAGACCTTAGCTGTTTTTTACTTTCTGCCTCCAGTAGGAATACTTCTTTCAACATTCTCATATATA